GCCGGAGGGCCGAGCTGGCTGGGGCCGGCAGGGCTTCTGGTGGCGGTGGGTGTTGTCCTCCGCGCCTGGATGTCCACGTGGAGCTAGCTAATAAACCCGGGCGCGAAGTAGCGGAGACGGGTCATTACCCGGGAGTTCCGCGCCTCTTCCCGTCTCACCTCGGCGCGTCCCGGGCGTGACTCTCGCGTGGGAGGGGGAATGTGCTTTGTCCCGCGAGTCAAGATTAAGCCTGAAAGACAAAGATTCTGTCTATTCGTAACGGGCAAAGGATTGCTTTTAATAGTTACCAGTGAAAACATATGCTCTTCCTATTGCCGCTCCATTTCCCCTATCGCAGTAAATGATTGCGTGGCTGAGACTAAGTGTTTAGTTTTAAAAACTAGATGCGCCCTGGATGCGCTAATATTGTCGGTTTAAATGACTCTGGGATTTTTCTTTTTCTCTTTTTTTTATTGTGAGGACTCGAAAAATGTGTTTCTCCAGCATGAGAAAGGTAGTGAAGTTATGTAGGCTTTCTTAATTGAAGTATTTCTACGGTCAACGTAGTCTTACAAAGAAGCGGACATTTGTCCACGTGCTTGAAATCTTAACTCTTCAGTTTGAGCTAATTCTCTAGGATCAGCCGACTGCTAGTTAAAATTCCTGCTAGACCTTGTGGAGGTTGTACTCTTCATTGATAAGCAGTGATAAGAGTTGACTTTTAATATTATACCCCGTCGCAAGTTTTCATTACAGTTACTGTAAATTGTCCTTTGTGTAGATGAAAAGCAATATTTGATAGCATACTTTATATAGTATTCATATGTATTCATGTATGCAATGTAAACATAATCAGAATTTTATACCCATTTACTTTGTCTCTATAAAGTTGGAAAGTTAAGAGCTATAATAATGAGCAATGTTGAATAGTGATTGTTTGCCAGGCTTATGCCAAATGATCTACATGCCTTATCTCATTTAATCTTAAGGGATAGCTTTTGGCATAAATCATAGGTTGCTAAAAAATACTTGAATACATGCTTGATTTGTGTCCAAATGTGGAATATATACATTAAATAATTATGATTCTGCTTTTGTGTTATAAGGGTGTTGGCATATATATATGTGTATATATATTTATATATATATAAGATGACTCACAGCATTAATTAATGTGTTTTTAAAGTTGGAAGATGGCTTTACAAATACATAATACTGTAATTAGTTTGGTAGTCAGGCATTTCCAAAGTCTTGTGTCTTATTTATCCTAGTTTCCATGACTTAACACTGTCACCCAATCTATGCTTATTGTCCAGAACACTGGGAAAAGGTGATGTAGAAAATCTTAATGGCTCCTTCTGAAAACCTCCCCCACTCCCCCATTCTGTCTGTAGTTTCTAAGTGATATTCCTAACAAAGGGTAAACCAATTACCTCAAGAAAAATGAAGACAAATTCCCAGTGTGAAACCAAGGAAATGAAAAACAGTGGGCTATATATTACCTTGTTGTTGAGTCTGCCATAGGGATGTTAGATTATGGCCATTGTAGGGGTTCTGCCTGCTTTTTCAGTTTGTCTTCATCTTAAACATATGGTTTCAAGTCCATTACTTTGCATTAAGATAATAAGTTTTTAATTGAATTTTTTATTAAGTTTTGACTTCTTAATAAGTTTATTTTGATTATGTTCCAAAAGTGGAACTTAATGACATATATGCAAAACAATGAAAGTAATGGAGGGGTCTAACTTTTTGCATCTTGTGAGAGTAGAAGTAGTTGAAAACACTAGAGAGGATGAGGGGAATGATTGGAAATGTTAATTATGATTCGCGCTGTTGGACTTAACCTATCTTCTGATTCTAGTGGAGAGGAAGAGGTTGCGAATGTTCTGCCATTTATCTGTATTTATAAAAAGCTATCTTTACCTAAAGGCATTCCTTTTGGGGAGGAGATGAGTAAAGATTTGTCCACTAAGGAAGGCTATAAGAAGAAAATGGCACGTGTTTTCATTTGGAGTGAATACTGATTTTTGCCACCTCATGCACCTTTAGGCACTAGTAGATGAAGAAGGGAGACGAGCATACAATCATAGATAGCATTAATGGGCTTTCAGCAGAGCAAAACAGGTGTCTATTACGAAAACCATTCCAATAAATTTGACTGTTTATAAATCATATTATTTGCTTTCAGAAATGCAGAGAATGCCTCTTTAATGTGTTTTATAGATAATACATTTAGAATACAGTAAATGAAAAGTTACAGACTTTTTCATTACAAATGTCTCTGTTTGTCATTGTTGGAGAACCATAGTAACCCTAATGCCAACTTTGGCTCTTGTGCAGAAGGCATTTAAGTGATGTGTGTTTCATCAGATACGAAGACAAGCCCTTCTTGTTCCTTACTTCACCACTTGGCTCTCCATCGAGTGCCCTTTAAGCTTCCGGAATATGGGGACCTTTTTTGCTTGATCCTTTGTTATGTCTTCACATCCTTGAACAGAGCCTGGCATGTGGAAGGTGCCCAGTAAATATTTGTGGAATAACAGAAAATACACTGCAATTTTTTCTCATTTTTCACCGGGGCAGGGTCATTCTAGTCTTATTTTCTCCACTGAGTGTGTAGCCCTTTGAATGTTAACTGTGTTAGCTGTTGTAGTTTATCTCTTATGGATTTATCTTGTTACATAAATGTTTCATGTGTCTTGTTTCCCCAACAAGAAAATATGGGCTATATGACAGCAGGGAATATATTTTTATGGAGTACTGTTTTTGAGAATGAATCAATAGCTTATGTTTTTGTAATTTATATACTTAAAAATGTACCAGATCCGTTTAAACATTGATTTGGATATCACAATAACCCTTTGAATTAGGTACAATTAAAATCCTATTTTTTCAAGTGCAGAAATTGAGGCACAACGAGGTAATTAAGGTACTTGCCCAAGATCACAATATAAAAAAGGAGATTGGACGTGAGATTGGATGTGAACCCAATCTGGCTCCTAAGTCAGTGTAATATCTCTGGGGAGTTTTACAGAAGACAGAAGAAAAGATATAACTGCACTACTTTTTCACTTATAAAGGGTGCCCTTTTTCAAATTTAAGTAACGTAAAAGATTGCAATGATTTTGAATGGCTGAAATAATTAAGAATTTTCCAGACAGAAGATGTTGATGATGAAATGGTTAAGGGGATATTGTTTGGTAGAGTAAAAGGGAGAGAAACTGAATTTTGGATCATAAAGCTGAGTGAGGACTATAACTTTTTGTAGTTATCATATTCTGTGACAATTATTCACCAGGATGTAGGAGCATTGACTGTTGAAGTTACTAATTTAGTGTAAAAAACCTTACACCAATTTAAATACTACTGAATGACATTTGAGATCTTACCACTTTTCTTTTTTAAACACTAGTTATAAACCCCTGCTGGTGGTAATTCTCCAGAATGTGGGTGTCACTGAAGGTTTCCCCATGCACTTCCATTTGCTTTGTCTTTATGCGGAATCTTGATCACTTTTCAGCTTGTCTCGGGCATTAGAAAACAGTATTGGGGCCAGGAGACTTCTTCAGTGCAAGCAATATCTTTTTGATGGGGAACAAATGTAAAAGTGTTCCTTTGTTTTGGTGACAAACCTGGGATGAAGTCTTTGAAGCCATGTGGAACTAGATGAGGGCCTCCGAAGATGCTCTGGCAAGATGAAGAAAGTAGTATTCTCTGAAAGCCCAGTTGTGTATCTCTTTTGTTGGGACAACATATTTTGAGAGTTTTGGGCATCAACAGAGTTACTTAATCACAGTGGCTCCACAGATGGGGGAGTATGTGTTTGAGTATATATCATCACACCACTGTCCAGGCATCAAAGGAGGACGCCTCCTTGAAGAAGCATGGCACAAAACCTGGTTAGCACCCGAGGAGGACACATGCTGGGCAGGTATAGTATTCTTATTACTCATTGTTTCTGCTGAGTAAGATCATGTCATTTGACTTGGGGGTAGATTTATAATTTGAGTCCGTGAAGAAATGACATGTACTGCTGTCATTTTAACATCAGCACATATTTTGGAGTGGCCTGTCACAGAAGCAACTTAAAATTATGCATGTTATCCCACAGTTATGTTTTTAAATATATGAGGGAAAGCTTAGAAAACAGCTGTTAAAATAATCTATATTGAAGTGTTTACTTGATGTGCATATAAACCTTATCTTAATTTCAGATTTTTTTCTGAAGGGGGTCGTTTAGAAAAAAAGAAAGTGGTACACTGAATCATTTATTCTAAGCCTGTTTAGCTGGGATAATTTAATGAAATATCTGTTACCCCATTTTAGGAATCTGAGAGCTATATATCTGGATCCTTACCATGACCTAGTGTGGTGGTTTTTCAAGGGGTATACTCTAATTTATTTTTAAAGTAACAAATGTCTTAACCTAACCTAGAGATACCTTAGACCTGGAGCTGGACCTTGGACACATGTATTTTGAACTCTGCTCATGGGAGTCTAGTGTCCTCCTCCCCCTCTCACAAGAACCATAGTTGTATTTTATAGATATGAAAATTAGGGCTAAGTCAGATGACTTGCCAACAGCTGATTAGTACCAGGGTTTTAACCACCAGATAGTATCTAATTTCAGAATTTTATGGCTGGATGAAATTTTCCAGGTCATCAATTTAGTAGCTTATTTCATAGCTGAATATAAGCCAGTGTTCAGGCCATTTCCAAGTAGGAGGTGAATGTAGAGAAACAGTGTTTCTCAAAGACTATTTTCTACCTTGGCCTTGGTAAAGATCAGAATGTCGGTTGCCACAATTCTTAAAAGTTTCAACTGACGTTTTTTATTAATCCCAGGAACTGTTGACAATTGCATTTCCTTTTTTTCCCCTAATGCCCTTAAATTTTTTTTGAATCTATTGGAAATTCAAAGCCAAAGTGAAAGATTACTTATTTTTAATATTTAATTTATTTGAATTACTTATTTCCAGTCTTAGCTAAAATATAACTGTATTTTAATTTCTTTATTTAATTTTTTAAAAAATCTGACCGATTTCTAATATTTTTCTCTTTCAAGGTGTCTTAGCTGGGAAACAGCATCGTTTGACTTCTTGTCATCTTTGCTTATGAGCGAGATTCCTAGTTTCACCATGTCCTCCGTAGAGACCAAAGAAGCAGGTTTGTTTCTTCAAGAGGTCTCCTAAAACCCCTGGAGCAGCCATTTCCAGAAGTAAATAGTGTATCAGATACCAGTGAATGGATTATCTGACCAAGTGACTCAATAAGATGTTCGTGGAAGAATGGTAAAAAAACTGAAGAAAAGACGAATTTCAAGAAGCAACCATTTAGAATTTCTGAGCCAGCTGAAAGAAGATATTTCTGAAAATGAATGACAAGACTCTAGCATTTTTTTAAATGTATTTTTTACATTGCTTGTTAATCATCTGCTTTTGTGTATAATATTTGAATTAATTTTTGCTACTGCAGTAGTTGGTAATCTGATCAAAGCTTTTTCTGTGAATAGAAAAATAGGAGGAGAAATAGGAATATTCTTTGGGTATTGGCCCTGGAAAGTGACTTTCCCTGAATAATTACTGAAGGTGTAGGATGCTGGTGAATTGCTTCTTTTGAATGACATCCTGCTTCTTTCAAAATCTTTGCAACTTTAGATTCACCTTCCTTTCCCAGCCTTTGTATATGCCTATTGTGTTCTTGCACAATTTTTTGGGCACTGAAAAGCAGATGCCCATATTTTTTCAGCTTAAAAATAAGAATTTTATCTTTATAAATAGACCTTTGGTAAGGTAGCTTTTCTATCATGGGTTATTTTCTGAGATCAAGAATAGAATAATTTACATTCTTTTTCAGTGTTGCTCGTCTTTTTAAGCTCTTGTTCACTGTTTTCCTCTGCTGTTCTTAGATGGAAATGAAGTGATTTCTTTATGTTCTGTTTTCACTTATCTAGAAGACCAGAACAACACAGTATGGTAGAAATTTACTTCTTTTAATGGTTACTGTTTTAAATCTCCATCAAACTTCTGAGCAATGCTGATGTAAATGTTGCCTTCTTACTCTTCTTTCCTTTTGTGGGGAGACAGTAGAGAATCAGGGATTTCTCCAAATGCTCCTAAGAGGGCATGTGTGCATACACACACCCCTACTCTGAGAAGGCGTTTGTAATTAACAGATGGAACAGTTGGTCACTAAAGTCATTAATGTGTATGTACATGATTTAAGTAAAATTTGTTGATTAGAGCTAAGACATTTAACTAACAAAAGTAAATTTTACTTTACTTGGTATGATAAGGTCTGTTGGCTTCATCAGTAAGTTTTCCCTTTGCAAACTGAGAAAATATTTTTTCTTATCAGTCAAGTTTTATCCACTTGGAATATAAAGCAAAGTAACAGAATTTTAGATTTGATTTAATAAAGATTCCAGAAACCATTTGTTTTATTTAATGTCCCCCTTTTTATTAGGCTTCTTTCGTTTCATCCTTTTTTCCTGTTTTTGCCTACCTACTGGCCACCTGGTCTCCCCTTTGCTGTACTCTCATCTATCCAGACTGTCTTGTTCTGTGACTGTACTTCGCTTACTTCCTGCCTTTTTCATGATTCAGTCTGCCATTGCAAATGTGTCTCTTCTCTTTACCCTCTATTTCCTTGGGTGTGGCTCCTTTCTAGTTTGCCACCCCCAGTCTTGTCCTCTCTTGTAAATTCAGCTTCTGTCATGTCCAGCTCTGCCTGTTTTATCCCTGATCTCTGCCCACTTACTCGTTTCCTTGCATGGCATTCATCTCCCATTGGTTTCATCTTCTGCCACCTGAGACTACTTTTTGTACAGATCACTGGTCTCTCTCTCATGTATTTGATTTAGCTCTAATTCCTTTTATCTTTAAATGGATGTCACTTTCTTCCTGTACTTCTTAATCTTCATGCGTTTGCTCCTTGAGCTCTTTTTCTATTTTCCTTGTCCCTGGGTGGTAGATATTACTAGATGGATGTGTTTTCAGTATTTGCATAGACACAGTTCCTTGCTGTGTATTTCCTGAGTTGCCAGGATGAATCAATTATTATTAACTTTTCTTGGAACATTGAACTTCCTGCATTTTCTGATTCTAAGAATTATGTTGTTGGCCTAGAAGACTAATATTACTCTAATAAGAGTTGAGGTAGTCGTAGGATGCTGTCATTTCCACTCTTCATTTAAAAGTTTATGACACTTGAATTTATTCCCTTGTATTGAAAGATTATAAAACATCCACATAACCAGCTTGCGAGGTATGGGTGGGTGGATGGTGGGGGAAAAAAGGCAAATACTGCTAGGAAGGACTCAATCAGTTTCTAGAAGTAGATAGCTGATAATAAGCCACATGCATTAACATTTATTTGGTAGAAGGTTCCTCAAAAGAATAAAAATTGTTAGTAATTGTTAGTATTTGTATTTTTGCCTTTTCCTTTAAGACCTTTAATGTTTAACAAAGCAAACTTAATTTTGTAAATATTCGGGTTTCTTGAGACACCCGAAGTTCCCTTAAATGTTAACTTGTGTCATTTTATTACTATTATACATATTATATATGTATATATATTTCTATACATTTATTATGCATTTTATTATTATTTTAGCCTTTTCAAAAATACCAATAACAGAACCCTACTAGTCCTTGTGTGGGAATGCATATAGGTCGTATATGCATATAGATAGACCTGTCCCTCGGGACTCTGTAGGTCTATTGTAGTGAAAAAGTAGCCTCTTAGAAAAGTTGATTTTGATGATTTTTATTGTTTGACATTTCCCCTTTATTTTTAATTATACTATAATATGATGCTGTCCTATACTTTAGTTTTTTATAATCTGTAATGAACTATTGGAGGTAGACTGATGTGAGTGCAGATGCAACTATTAATAATAAAAGGCCCTATCCATCACATGGTTTGTTTAGTTTTCTGTACAAGATTTTAAAGACAGCCTTACAAACTGAGGTGGATCATCTTAAGTATTTGTGTTCCTGAGCCTTCCCTAATTGTGATGGTGGTTGTTGAGTTTCTTGAAGCTAAAGGGATGGCTTGTGGTCTGGTATTTACCACCCATGAGCAGATGTAAAAGGCTGCATCCCACAGTTAATCACAGTTAAGCTACTTACAAAATATTTGTGTGGGTGCACTAGGTATAGAGGAAACAAGGTGTTCTTTGAAAGCTAATAAGTGAGTAGGGATATTGACAAGTATGGGGCAAAAGCTAAAATACACATATGTAGCAACTATTACAGGAACAGACTAAAAGGGAGAGTCAGCAAGTAAGTATAGGTCAAAAACTGAAGGTAAGATACATGTTTTATATCTCCTGAATGTATGTTTGTATATGTGGATTCTGACAAGCACTTTACCTGTGTCAATAAGTAAAGCACGCTCAGTGTCTTTACCTTGAAATGGTGATACTTACTTTGCAATCCATATGTTATATGGATTAAATGAAATAAAATATATGAAGTACCCTTATGATCTCTTATTCAATTATTGGTTAAAATTTGGAGAACTAAACAACCAGTGGTGATCAAGGTAAAAGAATATAGTAATGTTGATTGGAACATGCGGAAGTAATTTTGCTGTCTAAAGAGGTTGGGATTCTCATTTTCAATATGCTTTTGTGGTTTTTTTGTTAGTTCTTTTTTTTATCAAGGTAATGTTGGTATATAGCATTATGTATGATTTAGGTATGTTGCTTTTAAGTTTAAAAGAAAGATTTACTACTTTACATTATAGTCAATTCCCTCTTTTTTTTTTAACTGAAAGAAGTTTATTTAGCTTGATGTATTTCCCAGATGTTATTCTTAATGACAGTTGTCTTTTCCTGTAAGTCAAATCTGTTAGCAGAGAATTGTAATTTTGCTACAATTAATCATATTTGACAAAATACATGCTACAGGTTTCTAAAATGTTGAGCCAGAATGATAGCACCACTGGAGTAGGTTTACTCTAAGGAAAGTTGGGTTGTTTTATTCGATACAGAAACTTTGGCAGATGTTTTAAAAATTAGTTTTTAGGTAGTTGTAATCCTGGTACTGGATAGCATATATCCCAGCCTAAATATAGTTTCTGCAATATATCTATGTTTTGTTATTTTAAAAAATATTTAAATTAATTTCCTTTAACAAAAACAGAGTGAACAGTCTGCATTTTCTAATGTAGTAGAAGAAATTGGCAGTGACTTAATATTTTGTTTATGGTTGATTAATTCTTCCTAAATTAGCAGGTCTTTAAAATGGATGTATGTCTTAGGCTTGTGATAAATCAGGATGGGTAAATTTCATTTGAAACAAGTTGATTTCTCCTAATGTGGATTGTTTGTACCTAGCTTTTAAAGTCCTCTAATTTGTAACATGATTAGACTTGTCTATTTTATTGTGATTTTGTATATTACAAGGCTTGTGTTTTGGGTAATTTAAAATTACCAATTTTGAGATAAAACTACCAGCCCAAAATTTTTATAAAAATCAAGTTTATTTCTTGTCTAAAGCCCCTTTAAAAAAGAAGCTCGCTACTTATTATCAGGCGATTTAAATAAGTTTAGTTTGTGTTTTTGACTGGTGTTACTTTGTACTGACATTCATTCATAGATAGGGAATCTGGTTTTGTTGAAAGGGTGGCTGGGTACATTGATCTTCCAAGGCTGATTTAAACTGGTTCTGGTTCAAAAGTGGCTTCATTTGTACTCTGGAAGATTCTCAGTAATCCTGTGGGCATGTTAACATGTTTAATCACCACAGTGATTATGACTATCTAGTTAACACAGCTGTTTGAGAAATTGATGCAGTGTAGAATGAACTGAGGTGCTGGTTTTGTCTGCCACTGCTCCCTGTTATATGTTCTTTGATAAACTGGCCTGGAGCTGACCCACATACGGTGCAGCAGTCCTCTGCTGTCTTGCCTGCTGCTTCCTTTAGCAGCATTTCAGTCAGTTCTTCTGTTACACTCCCCAGTGTTCTCTGACAAATCCTCTCATCCCCACACCTCTGGCCTACACCCCAGTTATTCTACATACAACAAAAACAAAAATAAAACAATCCTCAAGGAAAATAACAGTATAAATATGTACAAAAAACAAAACAAGAAACAGTGAAGTGCCCCTTCTTACAGTTGCCGCCCTTTACTCTCTTTTTCACATGATCAGAGCTGAT